GTTCAAAAATAGCCCAATTTCAAAAGTAATCGAAATTTAGCCACTTTTTATGTAAAGATAAATCTGAGCGAAAACACTGTTCAAAACCCGAAAAATACTCAAGTATATTATGCTGGAGTTCCAGCATAAGTATACTTGAACTCCAGCATATTATACTGGAGTTCCAGGATAGTATGCTGGAACTCCAGCATAATATGATGGAGTTCCAGCATAAATACACTAGAACTCCAGCATAATATACTGGAGTTCCAGCAAGTATAATAGTCCAGTATATTATACTGGAGCCAGCAAAGTATACCGGTCCAGCATAATATGCTGGAGTTCATACACTAGTGCACTAAAACTCCAGTATATTATGCTGGACCGGTCTCTATTGCAGCAAAACGGTGGCTATTTTTCATTGACTTGGTAAACGCTGGATATTTTTGATTGACCAGTCCGAAAACTAGCTATACCGTGGAATTTTGGCCCCAAAATCACCTACCCCTTCACCCAGCCCATCATACCTCGAGCTAGGTCCAGTTACTATCAATATCTCACCTGCTATCACGTGGCAGTTTCACATACTCACATTCTAGTCTAGTCTCTTATCCACTTGCTTTAAAACTTAAAATTGCTTACAAAATTTTTATGAGAAAATTAATTGATTACTTGATAAAAATTATAAATGACTAGCTATAACAAGTCAAACTATATTAAGATGTAAAGTTTTCTTTTCCGGTAGTTAGTATATATAACTTGAATACAAATAAAAAATATTACTGCTAATTAACTATTTGGGCTAAATTTAATGAGGTTAACTTCTATATGATGATATTTAACAGAATTTTTATCATTCAAGTCATCTACTCCACAAAATAATAATCACAAGTAACTATTTATAAAATTGAGATTAGTAATCTGAAAAACAAGGCAACTTATCCGCTAGAATATGTTAAGCAACTTATTAGCTAGAATATGTAAACATATAATAAGTAATGTAAAAATTCTCTATACTGATCAATATATGAGTTAAATCCAAATTTAATTTATTGACAAAATCCCAGATATAAATAGACAACCTTTTTTCTTACTTTCCTATTATCTTCCACATTCTATAAACTATTCCAGGATTCCACAACTATTTTCACCATCATTCCATTTCTTCCTTTCTTCCTCCACTGCTTTAGTCATTCAAATTGTGTTATTAGTCAAGCCCTACTCTCTTCCCTATCCCCATTCCACAACTTCATCTTTTTCTGCTTTATTCCTCTCATATTTCAATATAATAGAATAAAGCAGACCTAAGGTTCTTGATAACTTGCAAATATAACCAAAACCCTAGCTTGATTGACCAACTTTTTGACACTTTGCTACTTAAAAAACCTTATACATGTTTCCCAAAAGCAACATCAATGACCCTTTTTCCTACACCTCACAAGAATTGCTTAAACATTCTTATACACATGATGCTCATTATCAAAACCCTAATTCATCTTCAATAATAGTAGAAGATCATCCTTTTTTCTTGAATAACTTTCCTTCTCCATTTCTTGATCACCATGAATCCCCATTAAGCCAAATCTTTTCCCATCAACAACAACAACAACAAGAGCTAGAGCCTAGTGATCACCATCCTGATGCTGAAGTTGATCCTGATACTTCAAGATTTGGACGTGCTAACGTGAAAATCATAGAAGACCAGAGTTCAAATCCCAACGCAGAGCCTGTATCGCCATCATCAAAGAAGAGAAAACTAAGTGCAAAGCCGCGAAGGAGAACAGGAAAAAAGGATAGACATAGCAAGATTTGCACAGCTCAAGGTGTGAGAGATCGAAGAATGAGATTATCACTTCAAATAGCGCGTAAGTTCTTCGATCTACAAGACATGTTAGGGTTTGATAAAGCAAGTAAAACTATAGAATGGTTATTTTCCAAGTCCAAGAATGCCATCAAAGAGCTCTCAAGAAACATCCCACAAGAGAATAATACTTGTAGTGATCGAAACAACATAATGAGTGAGTCCCATATATTGGAATGTGAAGATCATAGAAAATTGAAAAAAATGGAGTTAAAGGACAAGCCAAGAGCAAAGGCAAGGGAGAACACCAAAGAAAATATGATGATCAAAGGCCACAAAAAGGGCAAAGAAATGTATGAGGCAAACCCTAAAAATGTCAATAAATTAGGGTCAAACTCTCAATCTCTTGAAAATAAATTTGCTAATGTTGGGATCATGGAAAGTTATTTAGGGGGTACAAGTTCTTCAATTAGTTCTATATTTGATTATGAGAATAGTGGAGTCAGAGGAGGCAATATAGATTATTTTGACAATTGTTACATGGGATTTCTTGAAAATTGGGACAACAAAAATTCCAACATCAACTGCAGTACTACAACAACAAACGAGGTACAAATCCCATTTGCAGGTAATAATAACACTAGCTCAATTTATTTGGACAATTCCAGGTATCAATTTCAGTTTCTGGACCAAGAAAACCATTTCTCCTGTAGGCATTAGAACTGGAATAAACTAGAATTTCATATTCTAGATTTTATTGTGTTATTATATCCTATGTTAAAACCTATTTTTCTGTTCTTCTTTTTTTGTTGATTTATGGAATATGGCAAAGTCTGGTATTTTGAACTTTGCTGCTTGAATGTAGAAAGACTCTGAAAATTAATACAAAAAAATTTTCTTTGATTAAATTGGATATTTTAATTTCTTCTGTTTCCAGATTTAATATGTACTACTAGTAGTCTAGTACTACCATTTGTTTATAATCGGTACACTTTTTAATATATCTAGGTGGATTTAATTAGGTCAAGCACTGCTCTCGAGGTTGGAGAATTATTCTCTTATATTTTTGAATTTTGTCAGAATAGGATATATATTGTTTGTAGCTTAGCAGTAGGAAATGATTGAAATCTTTGAACACTCAGACGAATTAATTACGTCTCAAACTCAAAACTAGTTAAGCACAACTATATGAATATTCCATTTTGCTTAGGTCCATTTATTATTCATAAGATTCATTAAAGTTAAATTATATTTACTTTGGTCGTCTAATTACGGCTTATAGACTGAACTCATCAAGTTTAAATCCTGAATCCGCCTCTAATGACAATAAAAAGATAAAGGCTTTTTCATGCTGAGAGTCGTAGGTTTTAGGTGTTCATTTTAGTTTCTAGGAGAAATTTTTGCTTAAGGTTATGTTATGAAATTTTAGGATCACGATTAGATTTGATCTAATCCTATTTGTAATTTAGTTTACTTGGATCCAACTTGTGTTTGATCTTTGTCCCAAACTAACAGTAATTAAGCTACCTTAATATTTCCTAGTAAATAATATATGTCTCAAATTCCATGATCACTTCTTATTCAAACTGCTGTAAGAAGTAAAATCTGTACTGGAGAGTGGTTCTAATGCATGGTTTATTATTGCCTGAATCACAAGCGGAGCCAAGTTTTTAAGCTTCGTCATTTTAATCCTTTTAAGTTACTGAGTTCTAAATTAATAATTTATATATATTCAATAATATTTTAAAAACAAAGATAAAGTATGAACCTAAACCACTGGGTTCGGTCGAACCCGTTTCCAACATTATAGACGATCGAGTCTCTTCCTTTCAACAAGTCAAATGCAATTTCTACCTATGAATTGAAGAGACATTAATGTTTACTTGTGGTATAGTTATTGCCTGGGTCAGGTTCCCCACATTATTTAACATTGACTTTTTTGTACCCTCAACGTCTTGCAGTATCTTAGGTACTGAGTTGTTATGTTGTCAAAGTAAAAGATACAAAGCTCAAAATAATATTAGCAACATATATAAGAGAGGATACAGTATACTGAATGAAACTTTATGTGCAAATTTTACTCTTTCTTGATTAATTAGAGTAAGATGTGACCATTCTTTTAATAAAATTTTCAAACAAGTATGTGTATTGGAATGCTTGCAACTTTGCTTTGTGTTTTTATATCTATTTTAGAGTACTTACTACTGAACGAATGGCCGGACAATTGGAGCAACAGTAAAGTTGGTTCCGCGTGACCTATAGGTCATGGGTTCGAGCCATAGAGGTTTGTATTAAGATAAGTTGTCTACATCGCATCCCTTGGAGTACAGCCCTTTCTTGAACCCTGCGTAAACACGAGATGCCTTGTGCATCGGACTGTCCTTTTCCTGATAGTTTTCTATTTTGACACAACAATTGCTCAATAGTATGAGTTTTGGATGTAAGTTATCTACGTTGACAGCACAAAGAATATTTACCTTATTGATGTAATTTAACATATTGCCAAGGGTTTTCAGAAACAGCCTCACTTGCATTATTAAAGGTAGGGATAAGGCCAGCCAAGGGCGAAGCCACCTTTTGCAAAGGGTGGTCAACTGAACACCCTTCACCGAAATATTACGAAAAATTACACTGTGTATATAAGTAAAATATTGATTTTAGATGTATAAAATATATATTGAACACTTTTCTTTTTAGTTCTTTCGAGTCTGAACGCCCTTGGAAACATTTCTGGTTTCGACACTGAGGTCAGTGTACACACTAGCTTCCTGACCCCCACTTGTAGGATAACACTGGGTTGTTGTTTTTGTTATGTAATTTAACATATTATTTACTCACTTACTCTACTATCCAGATTATTACATTATGTTTGTTATAAACAATTACGGAATTACCTGCTATTGCTGGTAAATTTCTTAAGTGAAAACTCAATATATATGTATATCAACCATAGCAGTTAAAAGAAATGAATTACAAATACTGTTGCATTCAATAATATGCTGAATAGAAGTATGCAGAAGAACTGACATATTGATCTTACTAAAGGGAAAACTTGTTCCATCCAATTTTTACCCTTATTTCTTTTGTTGTTCTGACTAAATGATTCTGGTTTTCTGCTATTCTAGTTACTGTACCTCTGAGCTTATACATAGGAATTCTACAGAATGAGGATTGACAGAAATACTTTTGGTTCTGCATTGTTATATCCACTGAGTGCACAACAATCAAATACTGTTATTACTAATAGTTGGGCCTAAGATATTATAGTACTACTTTGTTTAAGGGGTCGTTTGGTTCGAAGACAAGTTATGTTTGGAGCTAGAACACGACCTATGGGTTCGGCCGAATCCAGTAACTTTTGTCTATATCGTATATTTGTCTTAAGAAATTCATCGAATATGTATAATTTATTAATTTAAAATCCAGTAACTTAAACAGATTAGATTCTCAAACTCATAAACATCAAATCCTGACTCCGCCTCTGCTTATGATTAGTTATACTGTAATTAGTTATGTTGTGGTTAGTTATCCTGCTATTATTTCTTATTGGTTGTTTGGTAAATTATATTAATCTTAGGATTGTCAATTTTACTGCTTTATCTTGGGATAACTTATCCTGCGATTACTATCCTACCCCCTAACAGGTATAAGTTAATAGCGTACTATTTTTAATCCTGGGATAACTTATTTCAGGATTAGTAACCAAACAAGGGGTAAAACGGTACTAAATTTTTATCCCAGCATTATTTTTGTTTATACATCATACCAAACGACTCCTAAGAGTTCAACTAATATTTACTGACGATGTAAAGAACTTTTACACTATCAGATTACTTTTTACTTCTTGTAGCAGGCAATATGTCTTATTTTTAAGATTATAATTGATATTTTATATTGAGGATTGTCTGTATGTTATTTGACATCTTTTGGGTGATTTGATAATATAAAATCTTCTTTATACTGTCATAGTATATAGGTAAACTCTTTTTTTTCTTTGTGGCAATAGTTTTCTGAGCTACTTGATGATATTTCTGTCAGTAGTACTAAATTATCGGCAGCGTATAACAAGAAAAGGACAACACTATTGCATTGGAAACTAACATTTATTGCAACATTTTGGAAAAAGAAAAAACAAAAATCAAAAGTACTACATAAATAGAAGTCAATCTATTGGATTGACTATAGTAAATTGAAGTGACCAACTCAATAAATTCATTCAGGTAGAGTCAAAGATCATACCATGTCTTTCAGCAGCAAAAATTTTAATATCCCTATACAATTCCTTCTTTGCTGCATATGCTTTAAATTACTTCTGCAGGCTTCTTACATTCACTTGATGACCTAAATCCAATATGTTATTTGAGATTATTAGGATGTATTTGGGAAAGATTTGGAATGGAATAATATCGATTCGTGCAGAATAAGTTGCCTTGAGTGGTGAAATTGACAACTAGCAAATATTCAATTTTATTGACATTTTTTTTTTTTTGAGAAGTAAAAATCCATTGACATCTTATTCGAAGTTTCATTGAGGAACTTCCATTTATGAACATAGGCAAGTCAATCTAATTTCTTTCTCATTATCTTAAAAAGAATTAAAACTAGATCATGCATGGTCTTAAAGAATCCTTTTGTATTATGGCGCCGACCAATATCCTGATACACATAACGAATACTGATATTTGTATTGTGGTGCTATTAATATCCAGATTTACATCGTGTAAGACTCATTAAAAGGGGCCGTGCTTCATATTGGAATTTTTTCCGTACTTAAGATTGGAATTCGAAACATCTGATTAAGGGTAGACGGTGAAAGTCCTAACATGGGAAAATGGCATCTCATGTTCCTGTTCAGCATGTCCTACAAACATTGTAGTATAGTTTTTGCTTACTACTTAATTCCCCTAAACAAGGACAAAAAATTTCATGGACCAAGAAAGGCCAAAAAACTCTTTTTGACTCCACCAACCATTAAAAAAACACTTCTATTTTAACTTTGTGCCTTTTTTTCTTCAAAAGAATTTCACCTTCTGACACTTTGGACTCGAAAAAGTATAACAAGAAAAAGTAGTGTACATTCAGTCTGCAACCTGCTTTAAATTCCTTTAAATGCAATAATTGATAGATGAGTTTAAGTTTTATACATTAATATGATAAAATATTAGCACAATCAGAGGCCGCATATAAGATGATTACATGTATTCTCTATGATAAACACTAATTAGTGACATAGTAACGCAAGTACAACTAATATGATATAAAAGGTTAAATTACAGATAGTGTAAAGAAAATTTATATTGTCGGTGTATATAATTTAAATTCCTAATATAATTATGAAACATTTATGCAGGGGCGGATTTATAGGCAACATTATGGGGCATGTGTACCCGTGACCTTTTCGCAAAATTAAATATTTTATGTACATATTTTCGAAAATTGATATAATATTAACTGTTGTCACCCACACTCTAAAAAGGTTGAATGTTGCGCTTGGTTGAAGGTTGAGTTATTTATCAAGATGAATGTGGATCAATTCCCACTTAGTACATTTTTTTCTCCTTTTTTTAGTAGTGCACCCATGTACTAGAAATCCTTGATCCGCCTGTGTATTTATGTTTTTCACCAAAATGGATTCTGCTTGGAACAACTATTCTAATTCTTAAAGTTGATATTTGGTCGAATACAGAAGCAACACTGCTGCAACATGTTCTATCAAAGGTTGTTACTACAATTGGTGAAACTCAAGAATCTGTATTATTTGTATGTGTTTGAATATAATTTTTAAGCTCATCATTTAATAACGTTTCCATTGTTATGTCACATATTGTAGTGAAGAAATATAGCTGTTTTTCTTATTCATGTGCTATCTTAAGGAAAGTAACTTTCTATTTTTATCCTTTACTGTTTCAGACTTGAGTAAAAGTATTCTTGAAAAATTGCTGGGGCCAGATAATTGTTTATTAACTCTTTGGAAAAATTGTAGAGAAGTCATTGAAGAGAGTAAAATCTTTTGTTGAGATGATTGTTGGCCTTCTTTGCCTATATGGTCGTAATCCTTGAGTAATAAAGTGTATTTTTACTTCTCTTTTTTACTGTGGGTGAAATGAATGATGAATAGTCCATATATAGATTATAGAGATGCACATGACTAGTTTTTTCGATCAGAGCTCGTCACACCAAGCTTACTTAGTACAGTTTATATGTGTGATTTGCGAACTATTGCATAGTGAACAGGTTACCAATGCACATCTCGAGCTCGATATTGTACCTTAACCTCGGTACACTTCACACCCACCCAATCGTGAGAAAATGACAATTCACTAAAAATACTGTATATCATAGTCTGGGATCAAGAATAATGTATACGCAAATTTTATCTTTATCTTGTGATGGTAGAAATATTGTTTCTGATAAACCTCGAGTCACATGTGATCAATATTTTATTTAGCCAACCCTTAAAACGATCAGGATATATTTTCTTGAACAAATTGGTAAACCTTTTGGAGAAAGGTTTTTTAATGAAAAAAACGTGAAGTGACACCAAATGAGCATTGTCTTCGAAAATAGTTCTTGATCAAGGTTGCGTGGTGACTTGGAAGTGTCAGCTACGTGGCTTAGACTTTTTGGATAGACCTTTAAATAAAATTTAGAAACTAGTATAGGTGAATATACAATACAATTGTGCAGAAGTGGATTTTTTTTCAGAAGAAAGATGTCAAGAAATCCAAATAATTACATAACACGTATAGCAAAGATATTCACGCTTGTCTCCTAATTCTAAAACTGGTCCCGGATTTCACGACCTTCCCTGTCATATTTACTGATACTGAAGAAATGGGAATAAAGGAATTTTTTTTTTTCTTCTTTTACTACTATCCAAATCATACTTTTCAGTCCTATAAATGTACATTTTTTCCAATCAGTTAAAACACCAAATAACTTTACCTAAAAGCATTCTTGATACAATGTTACTGTAGATAGAATTAACATAACTTTGTATAGTTCATTAAAAACCAAGCAAAACATGAATGCTTGAATCCCAAGTCGATTCACTATACTACTGAAATCAATTTTCAAGCATTTCCGGCAATCTCGGTATGCTGAAAGCTACAAAAAGATTTACACATCTAGCTTGCTGTGATGGATACAGATTCTCTTTTATTCAGATTGACAAATACAAGCACAGTTAGAAGCAAAAGGAGAAACACTCGAAATCAATAACTCTGTACACGTAACTCAGCTGCCTACCGGACAATTAACAAAGTAAAAACTAACTATAAGTAGAAGGCAACAAATTTTAAACTCAATTCTCGACCGGGAGGTTAACCAAGAATCTAAAAATATAGGCAGGAGGAAAGCACTGGAAAGCATTTTGTTAAATTCTCCTTTGTTTCTTAGATGAAGCAGCAGCTTCAGACCATGATGAAGGCTTAAATCCTCCAACCAGCAACTTTGATGCAGCAGCCGCGTTTATTTTTCTCCTCTTAGATTCTAACTCTGACCGCTTAGAAGAACCAGACGATTCAAAAAAGATTGAACCAGAGTAAATAATGGCTCGTTTATCCCTTCTGTTCCTATCGAACTTATGAGCAAATTTAACACTTGCAGCAGTTGCAGCATCCTCTGCAGATGGTGGTAATAACCTAATACCAAGTCCAATCTTCTTAGAAGCAGCCTCTTCTTCGGCAACTCTTTTCTTTTGAGTCTGTACACATGCAAAAGAGGATGATAAGGACCCAAGTAAAGGAAAAAAGAGGAAAATGCACAAGACTGACATAAACAAAAGCATACCCTAAGCTTGGCTCGCAGAGCCTTGTTCATGGCATAATCATCTGAATGTCTAGTATCAGACACTCGCTGAAGACGAACAAGTAAAGGCTCAGCTTCTTTCTTCTTCTTCAAGTCTTCCTCCTGGTGCTCCAGCCGATAAAAAGGATCCACTAGCTTACTTTTATCTGGAAGAAAAGCAGATCAGTTATTAAAAAACTCCTCAGTACCTATAGTGCATCACAATAAAGTAATGTACAAAATTGCAGACTTCTATTCACCTGTCAACGCAATAGCTTCTCTAAGTGACAATAGCAACATGAATTCATCATGAAGAAAATGCACTAAACACTACTTGTATAGTGCTTACCTTCATCTACTGGAAGTATCATGGTTTCAGCATCTTCAGCGTCATAATCTTCGATCTTCTTTCGAGCTCCACTTATAATTACATACTCACAGTTCTTTGGATCTGTTTGAATGACAATTTCATGCTTGCAGCATGCACTTTTCATACTAAAGCTCCATATCTAACACGAGTATAATTACAATTAGCAAACAGAAAACCAAGAGTCATTTGACTTGCACAGTTGGCTACAAGTGAGAGGATTCAGTCTCATATACTGCATCATGACAAAATCATACCTTTGTGGAGTAATAGTTTCCTACTTGCTTTTTCTCAGCATTGAACCTCACACCCTTGGCAATCATCGACTCACATCCTCCACACCAGATATTGTATGGCATCTCGAACCTATAAAAAAAGAAGATATTATTGGGTAGTGAGTGATGATGCTCATAACAGCAGAGCTGGAAAATAAAGAACGCATGAGAATACTAATTAAAAAAATAATGCATCAGCAAGAAAAACACTTTATTTTTCCTTCTTTGTGTAAATGCATAGATTTCTACCTTCATCATATCCTAATATTGAACTTAGTGAACTAACATTGTTTTCAAGCAGGATACATCAAAAAAATTGGGTTCTAAGTATGCATTTTGAATCGCCATGCTTTGCCAATACCAATTCAGGCATCAGAGGACATCAAGCTGAAGTCACAATGTGTTAGATAATTCCTAATATTTAACTCAGTTAAGCAATAAAATCATGCTAATAAATTGACCAGGTTTAGCAATTACAAGGCCATGGTAGCAAGTCCGACTAAGCCTCTCTCTTTTTTCTTTTCTTTTTTTTCCGATTTAAATAAGTAATATGCAATCAAAGCTTGATACTTCAAACTCGATCTTTCCAATTACCAGGTGTGACTACGAATGCTTTTCTGAAAAATGAGTTCAATCTGTGAGATGTTCCCTAAAATTGAAGTTGACAAGGAGGTAAACCTCAGTTTTTTATTTGGATAAAGCAAAGAAAAATTTAGATATCTGGAAGGTCCATTCGACACCAAGGCAATAGGTATCAAATGCTATGCGACGGTAAACATTACTTTAACTTCTTCTATCCAAAAACACACATGCAAATTTTCTCCTCATCCAGATTATCTCATGGCTAAACTGGCTCAAAACATTAAGAACTAATTCTGCCATTATAGTGCTGCTTGGCGTCAGCATCCCAAAGGACAAGTAAAATACAGAATTTTCATGGTTCAGTACCTTATAATTAAAATGCCCTGGTCTATCTTTCTTGCTCTCTCTCGGAGAGCATGTTGGCCATTGAATTTGTTCAGTGAACCCTGGAAAGAAACCTGAATTAGTAACTAGAACTCTTCTCTGAATCCAACATTCCACCAGATACAGAGACTTTTGTCTGTAGCTATCTTCTCCTATTATAAGCCCTTCAAAGGAATTTACTCTATTTCTGCTTAAGTATCACCGAAGCAACAATGTTTATATCTACTTACCTTCTTGGGAGACCATTCTGGAGGATAGTAAAAGTTGTCCGCCCTAGCAGCTGCAAGTGAAGACTGGAACAGAAAAACAAATGACATATTAGCACCGACATTTAGAGCGATAAAAGGAAAACTGACAAATGAAACTCAAGCTGAAAGTTTATTAGGAGATTAGGTGCAGGATTGCGCTGTAAATTATGTTACTGCACCTATGATAAAGCTAGTAAAAGATCAGCCTTTCAAACACTTATTTATCACACAACTGCTTCAAAGATCCAAAAGAACAAAAAAAATACACAGAGCTTACTTGCTAATTATAGAGCATTTCACAATATTTTATTGGATGCAAAAAAAAAAAAAACTGAAAAGGTAAGAAAGGGCAAGTAAAGAGTAGAGATACATGTCCGTCCCCCACACAGTTAAGGAAGACAGGAAGGCAAGAGACGCCCTCCATATTAGCTTCCTCTACCTCTCAAAAAATCGACCCAAAAATAAAAAGAAAAACTTTCTCAGACCTCTTACAATCTCATACACACACACACACACACACAAAAAAAAAAAAAAAAAAAAGAGGACAACACCAATAATTAAATCTCTGGAGGGTAAACTGCCCGACAGACGCCTGCCTAACATATAATTAGGAGGGATCGAAAATTCAGACTATGTCAAGGTTTTGACATATTGACAAAACATATAAGAGCTCATATTCATCTGTGAAGATATTATACTGAAAGATCCCTCTAAACCCCAACAACAACAAACCCAACGTACACAGACCGTACCCCTACCTTGAGAAGGTAGAGCGGTTGTTTCCACTTTCCAACAGACCCTCGGCTCAAGCAAAGACGAAAAAGAAGCAGTGGCAAAAGACCCCTCTAAATCCCATTTCTTAGAATTAAATATTACCTCCTAAACTAATAATAATTTGGAAGATGGAGACCATAATCAAATCAATCAATCGAACAACTAAACACACCTCAATCTCAAACTAGTTGCAGCGACCAGCTATAATTGTTTCCCAGAGGACTCACTATATTAGACATAACCATCCTCCTTTATCCAGGCTTTCGACCAGCTATGCTTTGCGAAACTTACACAACCAGATAGAACCAGATCCAGGATCTGAAATTTATGTGTTCAAGTTCGGGATATTACCACAACCTAATTAATTTGCTAAATCCAAAATCAATTATTTCTAGTTGATGAACTTTTTTACACATTCAGGGTCTGGGCCAGAAGCTGAACCCATTAGTTAAAATCTACATCCGCCTTTGTAGCCAGAGTTGGATACCTTAATCAAATAACATCTCAATATTGTTTTCCAAAATGAAAATTGGTTCATCACAATTTTACACAATATATCAATAGCCAAATTGAACATAAACCCATCTCCACCATGACGATATTGTGCTTAAATAGATCTACAAAGAGACTTTTTGTAATTAAATTCTCAATATTCATTACTACATAGCCAAACTGGAATCCTAATCTTATAGTAACAGCTCAAAAAACTTTTTTTACGGGCACACCGCATAGTGTGTATTTTACAATATTTACACACAACTGTGAGCAACTCAAAGTCAAAACAATCAAGACAAAAATAATGAACAAATAAAATTGAACACTAATATAAACCCTAGATGATGTACAAAAAATTAAATTAATGAAATAAAATTATAAAAATGAAGAATAAATCGTAATTACCGAAAATTTGTAAGATCAACATACCATATTTTGATCTTCAAAGCTTCGGTTATTTGATCGGTTTTTTGGATCCTCAAAGGTTAAGGGAAATTCGCGTTTTGATTGCAGTTTGGGAATGTCTGATGGTTTTATATATAAACAAAACGGTACCGTTAAGGGAATGGATTCAGGCGGCAAAAGCCCGTAGTCGGCAGTGCACTTTGATTGATGGGCCTGAACTAAATATAGTCCAGGTAAAAATTGGGCTTTGACAAAAACAAAAAATAGCACGAGCTAGCCAGTTTTCGGACTGGTTATTCAAAAATAGCCAGCGTTAGCAAAATCATTGAAAAATAGCTACTATTTTGCTGCAATACGGAAAGTTCCAGCATAATATACTGGAGATCGGTGCACCTGTGTATGAACTTCCAGCATATTATGCTGGAACTCCAACACGCGGAAAGTTCCAGCATAATATACTAGAGATTGGAGTACCTGTGTATGAACTTCCAGCATATTCCTGGACCGATATATTATATTGAAACTCCAGTATAATATGCTGGAAGTCCAGTATATTATACTGGAGTATTTTTCGAATTTTGAATATTGTTTTCGTTCAGATTTATCTTTACATAAAAAGTGGCTAAATTTCGATTACTTTTGAAACTGTGGCTATTTTTGATTGACCACTTGGAAATTTGGCTATTTTTTAATTTCTCCCTGACAAAAATGTAAAAAGAATTAACCCAAATAGCCACCTACTCAACCTCTTAAATTAAAAAGAGTCGGTGAAGGTATATTATATGCATAATTTGTGTATTATATGTGTATAATTATGTATAATATATGTATATGGCTAGAAAAAGTAAAAAGTAAGTGTAACCGGCTATTTATGTAAAGATCCCAACATGTAACTCAATTGTGAATTGAAGAAGGGAAAATTATCGACACATCAAACATTTATACTGTATTTATCATTTGTAACTATACTTTCAGCAAATTTACCATTCATAACTATATTTGAATTTTATAGCAAATCCATAAAATAAGAGATTAATTATTTTGAACTAAAATAAGAGAGCAATAAGCTCTCGTAGCAGTTGGTTAGAGCGCCCGCTTAATTAGTGGAGGTTTTGAGTTCGACTCTCAACAAGAATATTTTATTTTTATGTATTTCTGTATTTTGCCTTAGTTGTATTCGTTGCGAGAATAATTCAGTCAATACAAGTTGTATCATTTGTATAAACCGCTGTATTTCGCCTTGGTTATATTCGTTGCACGAATTAACACAATTGCACGTTAATACATATTGTATTCGTTGTGCGAACGAATACAGTTGACACAGGTTGTATTCGTTGCGCATTTGAATACAAGTGATACAAGTTAGTAGCAATACTACTGATGGTTATTAAGCAAATTATAGTTACTAGACTCTAAACTATAGTGGTTTACTAATGAAGAATTAAACTAAATAGTCAATCACCCAACCGCTTAAACTAAAAATAATCAACGGATGCAATATATATATATATATATATATATATATATACACACTAGGAAAAATAAACAAAAAAATCCGATCGACTATTAGTTTAAAAGTCTCCAAATATAAATACGACATTCTTCTTACATATATATCACATGTATTTTTCGTTTTTTCATCTTGTCCTTTAATATTATAATGGAGATTTTGGTGATTGTCCTAACCTTAAGTATAGTCCATATAAGGTGGTAGACAATAGTGAAAATTATATGTACGAAAATAGCTATTCAAGATAAATCCCACTAAAAGTGCACTTTTATTATTGCTTGCTATTTCTTTCCCATATACCCCTATTTGACACCATCAATACAACATTACTAGCTTCACTAGATTGCTTGGTAGAATGATAAATATGGATTACACTTGTTCCCCACCTTACGGCAAAAACACTTTGCAATTTACCCAAAATGAATGGAAACATGCATGTTCTCCCTAGAGAAAAGAGAGGAGAGAGAGAGAGAGTTGACTTTTATTAAAAAAAATTATTTAACTTAAATATACTAACGGTGTAAATAATTTCTTATATTATGAGTATAATTTAACTTATCGTATTTGAATTGTTAGTATAATTAACCTGTCATCACAGGTTGACTACCTTATTTTTCAGGTAATTAGTTTTACTTATGGCAGTTCATGTAGTAATCTTATAGACAATCTGAATGTGTAAAAGTTGTTTTACATTATCTGTGTACATAAATTAAACTATTAACGAAATTTATAGTATAATAATACCAGTGGGAGTACTCTTCCACACAATAAGAGTGGGTTTGATTCCCGTTCGATCCCCCTTTCCTTCCCCTTCTCGGCCCCGATCACCTTATATAATTAACGGAAAAGGGCCACATATACCCTCGATTATATTATCGCAAAAGGTTTAAATGTACCATTTATTATACTTTGAGTTCATATATATCCTTGTCGTTATATTATTGGTTCAAATATACACATTTTTTATTAAGTTTATCCAAAGTGGACATCCAATCCTACGTGGCACTGACATTTGATGGGGTGGATGCCGCATGGCTTGCCACCTCAGTGCCCCTAATCCATTTTACCCCTTCTATTTTTTTTTCCACCACTAAAATTTTCTTTCCCTCCACACTATTGCCACCATTACCGCTACCATAAAAAATATTGTATTTCAAATTTTATTCATTTATATATGGATTAGGGGCGTTGAGGTGGCATGCCATGTGACATCCACCTCATCAAATATCAGTGCCACGTAGGATTGGATGTCCACCATAAACAAAATTAACAGAAGAAGGGTATATTTGAACTAATAGTATTATGGTAGGGGTATGTTTAGACCCAAAGTATAACGAATGGTGTATTTAAACCTTTTTCTCATAATATAGGAGTATATTTGGCCCTTTTCCATATAATTATTGAGATAAACTCATAAAATATACTTGCATTTAATACTTTTAGTTTAACTCGAAGATCCATGTGACCTATAGATTATGGGTTCGAACCGTGTAATTAATTATTAATATAATGTATCAGGGTATACTACTTACATCACACCCGTTGGGATGTGACCTTTTCCCGAAGCCTACGTCGATGCGAGATGCTTTCTACACCAAACTATTTTTTTTTTAAGTTAATCTCGAAGATATACCAAAGTTCCAATAATGCTTGGTGATTTGAAAATCTATATGGTATATTAATTTTAGGGGTTTGACAATCCACAAAATAATGACCCCCTTTTTATTCCTTGATATCTAAGGAACACTTATTGGGAAAAGGGTCTACCGCCCCCCATTTCTTTCTTTCCACCCAACACCTCACAGAACTCTCCACCTTCTTTCTTACCCACATTAAATTACTACTACTCTTATCTTTTAATGTTTATGTTTATTCACAAGTCTAACATGTAAGCAAAGCTCCCTTTCTTTCCTAAAATTCAACTCTTCCCTTCTTCTACTTTCTTAAGATATGTGTTTATACGTGTTTGTACATTAGATTCAAGCTGTCAACCTTCAAATTTTCTCAATCTCCAAGAAGAAATATATATTTGATCCTTTTATTTCTCTACTTATTTCTTTGATCCATGTTTCCTCTTGTGACCATTCTCTTTCAATATGGGCTTAAAGGTTCCTCATGTAATATGCTTTATTCTTTGGTTCTCTTTACTTGTTCTCCTCTTTCAAGAATTCAAATTCTTGAAAACCAACCACAAAATCATAACATACTCTTCATCTAATAATCACCCTTTATTTACTCAAAGAAAAGCACTTATAGCAAGCAATTTTGACTTCACACCATTTGTCAAAAATCGTCACCACCACCACCACCACCGGAAGCATTCCCCGGTCGACGTTCATGACCAGCCGGAGCCAGTCGGAAGTGAGATTGATCCACGATACGGTGTCGAAAAACGGCTCGTCCCGACCGGTCCAAACCCATTGCATCATTAGGGTTGGAGGAAAATTTCATACAAAAAAATAACAAAAACCAAGCTTCCCCATTGTTTTATTCTTGAAGAGCATGGTGTATGATCTAGTAAGTACGTACTTTTTGCGTCTTGTACATGTACTAATGAAAAGTTTGATATTTAATAACAATAGCTTTCTTTTAGTTATTTATTTTTTAAAGCATATATGAGAATGTCATTATAATTAAACTTACATTGATGTATAACTCTTGCTTGAACACTAATAAATTGCTTGTTGGTGAATGTTGTTGTAATATGTGAGTTGTGAAAGAATTAAAGTTAAGGGAAGAAAATGAGTAGCTGTGACGGCACGGCAATGGGGGGCAAATATAGGGTACTTATTAGCTAATGCCATAACTATAATTAGTATGAAATTAATTGATGTTGTTGGTCAGTATCGGTGAAGGCTAAAAAATGCAAACAAGTGTGCAATGCACGTGAGAAGTTGGGTTATATCTAGCAAATTAATTAGAGCTACCATACCTAAAGCTATATCTCCAAATACGTCCCAACTTCTTTTTTTCTCCCTTTGTAATTTAACTTACTATCGAGCAAATTTCTTCGTTTTTTTTTTTGGTGGTATCGATTATTGTATTAGGCGCCAAATAATTCATATGTGTGTATTACACGATACAAATACATGTGCGTTGTTAGTAGGGGTGTTCAAACCGAACCGAAAAACCAAATCAAATCGATTAAAACCCGACTAGGTTTGGTTTGACTTGATTTGGTATTGAATAATAAAATGTATAAATATATACATTTTATTATTTTAAGACTTTATAGTGAATTTTCTTTAGAAAATGTAGAAATATTTGGGATCCTCTCATGTATTAACCTTGAAAGCGTAAATTAACGAAAAATTATTGTTAGACGACTAAGAAAATAACTATCATGTGTTACTAAAAAAAATCTCCCATTAGAATATTTTAATAAATCATATGTTTGTCAGTTTTTTTCATATTTACTAAACATATATTCACTTATCAAAGCTTTATCTATAATTTTAACAAAGTAAGAATGAAATAATATTCACGTAACAAAAAAAACGAAAACCCAAAAAAAACCCGACAAAATCGAACAAATCCAAACCAATATAGTTGGTTTGGTTTGGTTTTGATAAAAACCAAACCAACCCG